GGATGGATGGATGGATGGATGGATGGATGGATGGATGGATGGATGGAAGGATGGATGGATGCATGGATGGATGGATGGATGGATGGATGGATGGATGGAATATCAAAGCTTAAGATAAAAACCAAGTATGCACAAATGAGGAATAAAATGAGAAAACAAGTTAATGAAGTAGATAATGTAAGACGGCATGTGATGAATGGAACAGCTGTCTTTGATCATTGCTACTGCTGTTATCTGGTCATTATTTATTCTTCGAACCGAAGTGCAGACACAGAGCAGGGAGGAAGAGAGGCTGAACAGATGAAGATGTACAGAGAGACAGAATCTGTTTTAATTAGTGCGAACAAAGGCGCTGGACGACTGCGAGGACGCTCGCAGAGGAGAGGAGCAGAGAGGACGGGAGGCGGGGGAGACGGACAAAAAGAGAAGGAATCAGGAAGGAGCTGCTGGTCAGGGTCTTATAATTAATCAGAAACAGAGGAGAACTGTGATCCTTGGGATTCCAGAGCTCCTCCAAAAAGGAAAGGAGGGACCTATTTAAATCTGTCTTTTTCGCCCATACTCTCTCACCATCATAGGAGGAGGGTACACAGCCTCTCAACCTGTCGGCTCGGCCAAAAATGACAGAAATAGTCAAATCTCCTACATCCCCAACACCAAACCTGTTTCCTGGCAGTAAAAGCAGCCCTAACAGTCTGATCGGCAAAGGTGGGATCCCAAGCCCACTTGGCCTCGGTCGGGGCTCGTCTCTCGGTAAGATCTCAAGATCCTTCCAAAACATACTAACCCCGATGAGACAATATGACAAAGTTAAGCAACTGTTCTGCTTCATGTGTCTCAAATACGTGATGTTGGTGTTAGGGTCACCTGTGATACAGATTTTGCCATCTCTGCACAGATATTTTGTCCAGCCTAAACTCCACTGCGTTGTTCGGGGACCAGGACACGGTGCTGAAGGCCATCCAGGAGGCTCGGAAAATGAGGGAGCAGATCCAGAGGGAGCAGCTGCAACATCACCAGCAGGGCATGGATGCAAAGCTGTCCGCCCTGAGTTCAGTGGGCCTCAACAACTGCCGAGCTGACAAGGTCAGAATCGTTTTGTCCGTTTCATCACTGAGCCAGATCTTCTCCACCTCCAAGTTTTCTCCATGAATCAACAAGTATGCAAACGAGTGATCAGCTCTCTTAGAAGAAGTCAGAGAAAGAAACTATTCAAAAAGTGGAACATTTTGATACAGCAATGAATTCTAAGGCTAATAATTTCCTTTAATCAGCATCCAGGGTGGTCGTATTGATAAGAGCTGGCAGAGTTGAGCATGTGTGAGTGTGTTTACTTCATTTAGCATGAATGTTGGTGCGTCCGTGCTCACAGGCTTCGATGTTGTTGATGTTGGTGTGAGGGCCATGACAGGCCATGGTAGTGCCCAGTGTGGGTTAAGAAAACTCTGAAGTCTTTGCCCAATTAAAGCCGACTTGCAGCCCTCTCCGTCCCCTGACACGGGATGGGGCTGCTTTGTACCGGGAGCACACACTCCCAGGGATTCCCTTTAAAAATATCTTCAATCGATGAGTCAATCAAGGAAAGAAAAAAGCTGTCCTCTTCTCTTCAGCTTGATGCCACGTTGCCAGTTGGCTGTGAGGAGCAGGCAGAAACTGGGAGCGATGCTCATTAATATTTCAGTACCTGACACTTTCAACCAACACCCTCAACTAGGTCAATGTATATGTAAAAAAGTCTATGAATATCTATTTTGATTTCTTCCTAATTTGGTGTTTGGAAGAGATTACTGTCGTTGCAGGTGGCAATCAACTATGCTCTTACTGAAGTGAAGCAAATAGACTAGTGCAGCTCAGCACGAGGAAAGAGACGAAGCCTCTCGTGCACACTTCCTCTCAAAACCCTGTTAAAAATAAGGAATATTAAAAGAAAGAACAAATGTTTCATGCTAAGGATTTGATTCATTAACTACATTTTGCAGTAGAATACATTCTAATGTTTACTTGTTTTTAACAGTAACAAAATAAACTTTTTTTAAATTAATTTAAACTTTTTTTAGGTGGATGGCTTTGTTTGGTTACCGTACGCCTGGGTACAGGGCCGGCCTAAGACATAAGCAAACCAAGCGGCTGCCTAGGGCCCCGGGGCCGCTAGGGGGCCCCCGAAGTGGAAGCACAGGTTTCAGGAAGTTTACGACGTATTGAGGAAGAAGTAACAAACAGGTCAAACGTGTGGGTAAAGGTTTAATATTTTAAGTTCAGCTTTTACAAATTTTAGCACACATTTACAGTTTTAATAACTATTTATTCAACATTAAATTTCTTTTTTTAAGCCATTTTATGGGGTTTCAAGTAATTGTTCATTTACATTATTTAAGTATTTCCTTGGCATTTTATTTTTTATTTAATTTTGTCTGTTTTTGCACAATTAAATTTATTTTTTATGCATTTAAGTTATTTTATCTGGTTGCTGTTGATCTTGCATTACAAATTATTTTGAACACTTACTGTTGCAGTTCTTTGAGATAATAAACCAGATGACACTTTTGCTGTAAAATACATTGCATACTGGTGTTTTTGTTTTCCTTTGTTATTTTCAGTACCACTAGATCACATGTGTCAAACTGAAGGCCCGTGGGCCAAATCTGTCCCGCCATAATCATCTCTGTGGCTCTCTAGAGGGCCGCAGAAACAGAACTTCAAGATACCAGTTGAGTGCTTCAATATTACTTTATCAGTCAAATCAAATCAGCTTTTATGTTCATAATAACAAATTACTTGAAGTAGTCATTGAATGCAGGGAAAGTTATATTTTACCTGTTTGTTAATAAGTAGTTTTATCCATAAATTCTGCCATGACTGTTCTTTTGAGGACATTCATGAGCTTGATGTGGCCCAAAATGAGAATGTTTGACACCCCTGCGATAATGTGAACAGGGCTGTCAGAGTGAGTTCATGTTAGGTGGGTGAATGATCTGATCATCTGACTGGTGATTGCAGTAATCCACATTATTAGCAGAAATAGAGGGCCCCGAACCAAATTTCACTTAGGGCCCCATGGAGACTTGTCTGCCTGGGTACATGTGGTGCTTAGTTAAAAAACAAACAGCACTTTGAAAAGTCAAAGTCCTGACTCAGGAACTATAAGTTTTCACACCATTCTCAACCTCGAAGTCCAATCTGGCTTCCACCCACAAAAAAGTGCGGACAGCCGCTGTGAAAAAAACATTTACTTCCGCTTTTATCAGTTTGAAATCCTAATAAATGAGCAGCACGCGATGCGTACAGCCTGTCAGTGAACAAGTTGCTGCTGTTTTTGAACGCATAAAACGCAGATTACACCAAAATTAGTTTGTATTGTTAGTTACTATTATCAAATCCTGCTGATATTCCAGCTTGTAAGAAGAAAAAGTCGAAACTGATGCCATTACCCAAAATAACAAACGTAACATGAAAAAGCTTTTAGCAGTAAATAGTTTTTAAAAATTTTTTTTAAGTTAAACGAGTTTGTTTAGCCGTCTCCCGTCCTCGCAGCTGAGGTGTGCCTGTGGTCAACCGTGCAGACAAATCTGCCCCGACATGAAAACAGTAACTAAACAATGCTGATTTCCTCAAGCAGCACACCTACACCGTCATTGTTCTCCGTAAGTAGAGCTTAACGCCCCTTTCTTTACTTCCAGCTTACGCTTTTGTACGGTTTCACTTTGTTTTCTTAGGATTTTGGACTCGGCCTGTGTTCAGCCGTCGTCTCAAAGGAGAAGAATGTCCTTCATTTTTCTCCTTTTCTTTTCCAGAGGGATTTTTTTGTTTTGTTTACCCGAGTCTGTCACTCCTCACCTGTAATCTACCTTTTGTTTGTATTCATCACAAAAAAAAAAAAAAAAGGCGGTGTGTTTGTGTGGAATAAATGGGAAGGTGGGTCTTTTATGACCACAGAAGGAATAAACATTTTATTATATTGAAAAGAAACAAGAACATATTTTTAATAAGATCATACTGACGACATCAAAACTGCACCTCACGGTTCTTTAGGTTCTGTTCCTTCATGCCAACCTTTGTTTACTCTTTGGAAACAGTCCCGTAGAACAAAATACCATATTTTTCAGCCTATAAGTCGCAGTTTTTTGCGTAATTTGCATGCTTTACGACTTATACACCGAAGCAACGTGTTTATGGATTTTTCCACTTTATTAGACATATTTGGACAGAAGCGACTTATAGGGCGGTGTGACAGTGGAAAATATGGTAACCAGGACTGACTTTCTTGCTTATATGCAGCCACTGTCTTTAGTTTTAGCGATAGTGCTCCATAAAGTTGATGTGATATTGTAGAGACGTTGTTAAATCAGCTAAAAGAATTGCCTCATCACGTCCATCGTTTGGGCTGAAATAAAGCAGTAAGTTGTAATTCAGCTGTAAAATGAGAGTGGAGGAAGTCTTTTGCTGATACAACAAGCCAAAGGACTAGAACGGCTTGAATGTCTCGGATAAAAGCTTTCACTTTAGTCAGTTTCAGAATATTAATATTTTAAAAAAGCACCTCACCTGACATAAATATGCTGTGCTCTTTAATAGCTCTCCCTGCAGTCTCTTGTTTGGAAGTTTATCACAGTGAGAGCTTACATGAAGAAGATTCTGGAAGGTAACATAAATGGGATTAAGGAGAGGTTAAGATCATTCAGTGTGGCTGTTAGAGGGGGGATATTAAATATTGATTTATCCCGGTGTAATGACCGGACAGAGGAGTGGGTCTAAGTGCTGCTTACAGATGGATCAATTCATCTTTTCATACAAAGTGTGTTTGAACAGTACAATGCGTTTCTCCTGAGCCTTTATCACCAAGACTCTCACTCCGTTTCCCTCCCTTCCTGCCACTGACCTATATGAGAACACGGGTAGATAAGACTTTGTTCAAGTATACGAGCCTTTAACCCGAGGCCATGTAAAAAATTGATGGTTTACGAGTCTTTTTTTTTTTTCTTGTTCTTTTTATTTGTCTGTTTTTACAATATTCCATCAGTACAATAAAACCTTTTACAACTCTTCTACAATTTGTCTTTCTAAAATATTTATCCAAAGGTATTATTGTCTCCAAAGGGCAATTACTTTGTTCCATTATTTACCATCTACCCCTCAACCAGTGGAGGCTTTTACCTGGACTCCACCAGCAGGCCTGAAGTCACAGGACCTGAGGCCATTTGTAACCGCTTGAATACTTTCTGTCCAACAGGCACAGTAAAAATGGACATGCCGTTTTCAATTAAAGACACGGTATTACTATCATCAACACTTTAAATTTTACCACCTTCTAATATTATATAACAGACTGAGCAAAATGCCTTTTTTGCCTGCACATGCACCAGTTGCAGTGGGATTTCTTTATACCAGTACAGTAAATGTAAATTATCTGCCTGGTAATGTGAGGTTCAAATCCTTGAAGTTTCAAGTGAAAGTTTAGGAACCAGTTCCATTTTCAGCTTCGACAAATATTACTCCTAAAACACAATAAGTTTTATTTAATTTAAAGTCCTAGATACCATCTGTTACACGTCTTCTTCTTCTTCTTCTTTCAGCTTTTCGCTCTTCAGGGTCTCCACAGCGAGTCCTCCTCCACCTCACTCTGTCCTCTGTCCTCACTCCATCTACCTCCATGTCCTCTCTAACTGCATCCATATGTCCCCTCTTTGTCTTTTTCCTGCAGCTGCATTTCTAGCATCCTTCTACCAATATACCCATTGTCCCTCCTCTGGACATGTCCAAACCACTGTCCCTCCTCTGGACATGTCCAAACCATCTCAGTGTGTCCTCCCTAACTTCATCTCTTACATTACTGTGCACCAGAAGATCTCTGAAGATGTGAACTCATGTAGGTCCAGTCTGTTGCTCGTCAGGATCCTTTCTGTGCGTTCTTTTCTGTTTGTTTTATATTTTTAGGTAAAAAGTTTTGTTTGTTTGTTTCCTTTTTCACCAATGCATTTTTTTTGTAACTTTTTTTGTTAGTTCTGATAAAACGCAGCTTATTTAATGCCCCAGAGCTTGTGTGAGTTAAAATATATTCTTCTGCTGACAAGTCTCAAACTGGAATCAAA